GTTGTCTCGGATTCTCCAGCATCTGCAGTTCCTACTGCCTCTTATTCTGAAACTGTTTCTCTTTGTTTGAGACTCCCCAGCCAGAGGAAAGCATGTCTTAGTATCTTCCCTTGTGATATAAACTGTCTGAGTTATGCAGTTAATATCGTTTATTTTAAATTTACGTTTTGAATTTTGAAAGTTGAGTTTTTTTGTGGGTCAGGAATTATTAAGTTGTAAGTATTTCAGTAGCCATGGCAATTTCTTTAGACACAAATTGTGAGGACTACTTTGGAACCTAATGGATGGTTGTTTACTTGAGGACTTTGCAACCTAGCAAGATAGACTAAAGGTACCTGTTAGAAATATCTAGACTGGATATTATTTATTAAGGAAAGTTCAAGGAGAGGGCCCATTGTGGAGGGAGTGGCTTTTGTTTCAATTTTACTATGTTTTTGGCAATTCTGTGAAGCCATTGCGTGGAGATAGAGCAGTGCTCCTGACAAGGGGAGAATATAATAAACTAGATTACTTGACAGAGGTTTCAGACGGGGAGTCAAATTCACAGTTACCTTAAGGCTGTTGAAGTGTTAGAGAAACAGTTTCTGGTGTGTCTTCTGGACAAGGGATTTTTTTTCTTTGAAACTTGAAAAGAACTTTTTTGGGATTAATGGGATTATTCTTGTACTGCGTGTTTTTAATAACTATAAATTTATGTTGTAAATAAATCAGTCTACTTTATTTTACCTTCATTTCTTTTGCTTAACAAACTATTATTGTATTGTTAAAGCAAAATCTAGAATGTTGCATGCTTTTGTCACAGAGATAACCTTGTTAAAACCAAAAGCAAAACAAACTATGATCTATCAAGTTAGATCTCAATCGATGATCTGACTTGTTTAGCAATATCGTCAACTGAGATAATAACATCTTTCTAGTCCATCATAATCTTGAATGTTTCATCCTCTCATTCTTCTAAACTCAAGAGAATACGGATAATTTATTCAACCTGTTTTAGGACAACTCCCTTGTTTCAGGTCCTGCCCCCAATGCAAATATATCTTTTTAAAAATACAGATACAGAACTTTGTGTTCCAGGTGTGGTCTCACCAATGCCCTGCATTTGTAGCAAGATCTCTTTTATTCTTGTACTCCAATCCCCTTACAAGAACGAACAGCATGACATATGCTTTTCTAATTTCTTGTTGTACCTGCATACTGTGATTCATCCAAGTCTGTCTGAACATCAACATTTACATGCTTCACAACTTTTTTAAAAAAAATTCTGCTTTTCTATGCTTATGATCATAGTAAATAATCTCTCACTTCTTCATATTACACACGATCTGCCATCTTGACACCCATAAAATTAATCTGTCTGTATCACTTTGCAGCCTTTTGTGCCCTTCTTGCAGCTTGCATTCCTACCTGGCATTAGTAAACTTAAATATCTTACTTTTTGTCTTTTTGTCTAAGTCATTAATATAGATATAAATGGTTGTATTCTCTGCGCTGAATCTTGTGGTATTCCATGAGCCACAGCTTGCCAACTTAAAGTCCACCATTTATCCTGACTCTTTGCTTTCTGCCTGTTAGCCAATCTCTACCCATACTAATTTGTCTTCCCCAATTCATGAGCCCTCGTTTTGACTATTATCATTTTGTGTGGCACTGTAATTGAATGTATTTTGGCAATCCACATTCGCTACCTCCTGGTTGTCCCATATCTACCCTACTAATTGCATCCTCAAAAGATCTAATAGATTTGTTCTGATCATGTTTTTTTTAAAGTGCATTCTTAAGACTGTGTGTTTCTAATACTTTCCAAATGAGACACTATTTTCCACGCACAAAGCCATGTTGACTCCCTAATCAGTCCCTGCCCTTCCAAATACATGTAAATCCTGTCCCTCAGAATTCCCTCCAACAACTTGCCCACCACCAATGTCGCTGGTCTATAGTAACCTGGCTTTCCCTTACCACATCTCATAAATAGTGGCACCACGTTAGCCAACCTCCAATCTTCCAGCACCTTGTTTGTGGCTATCAATGATGCAGATATCTTGGCAAACGGCCTAGCAATCATTTCCCTAGCTTCCCACAGAATTCTAGGGTACGTCTGATCAGGTCCTGGGGATTTATCCACCTCTGTGTTTTTAGGCCGTCCAGCATCACCGCCTCTGTATTATGGACATTTTTCTCACTAACTAAATTGTGAGTTTTTTGAAGAAGTAACAAAGAGGACTTATGAGGGCAGAGCAGTGGACGTGATCTATATGGACTTCAGTAAGGTGTTCATCAAGGTTCCTAATAGTAGATCGGTTAGCAAGGTTAAATCATATGGAACACGGAGAACTAGCCGTTTGGATACAGAACCGGCTCGAAGGTAGGGAACAGAGGGTGGTGGTGGAGGGTTGTTTTTCAGACTGGAGGCCTGTGACCAGCGGTATGCCACAAGGATTTGTGCAGGGTTCACTGCTTTTTGTCATTTAGGTGAATGTAGGAGATATGGTTAGTAAGTTTGCAGATGACTCCAAAATTAGAGGTGTAGTGGACAGTGAAGAACCTCAGTACAATGGGATCTTGATCAGATGGGCCAATGGATCGAGGAGTGCCAGATGGAGTTTAATTTAGATAAATAAGAGGTGCTGCATTTTGGAAAAGCAAATCAGGGCAGGACTTGTACACTTAATGGTACCGTCCTGGGGAGTGTGGCTGAAGAAAAAGATCTTGGAATGCAGGTTCGTAGTTCCTTGAAAGTAGAGCCGCAGGTAGATGGGATAGTGAAGAAGGTATTTGGTATGCTTATCTTTATTGTTCAGTGCATTGAGTATAGGAGTTGGGAGGCCATGTTGCGGCTGTACAGGACATTGGTCAGGTCACTATTGGAAAACTGTATGTAATTCTGGTCTCCCTGCTATAGGAAGGATTTTGTGAAACTTGAAAAGGTTTAAAAAAAATTTACAAGGATTTTGCCAGGTTGGAGGGTTTGAGCTATAGGGAGAGGCTGAATAGGCTGGGGCTATTTTCCCTGGAGCATCAGCGGCTCGGCAGTGGCCTTATCGAAATTTATAAAATCATGAGGGGCATAGATAACCTGAACAGCCAATGTCTTTTCCCCAGGAGAGTCCAAAACTAGAGGGTATAGATTTAAGGTGAGAGGGGAAAGATTTAAAAGGGACCTAAGGGGCAGCTTTTTCATGCAGAGGGTGGTGCATGTATGGAATGAGCTGCCGGAGGAAGTGGTGGAGGCTGGTATAATTCCATCATTTAAAAGGCATCTGAATGGGTATATGAATAGAATGCTGGCAAATGGGACTAGATTTATTTAGGGTATCTGGTCAGCATGGATGAGTTGGACCAAAAGGGTCTGTTTCCATGCTGTACATCTCTATGATTCTGTGACTGATGTGAGGCTCGTGCACCCAGGGAGTTTGGTATCTAGATCATGGAAGTTGTGTTTGGGAGGTGGAGGAAATTGTGCAGACCTACTGGTACTTGATTACTGAGTGGGGACTGGAAACAGATAACCAGATTAATGGAGCCTTGGATTGACTGAGAAAGTTAAAAGAATTAAGTTCCCAAAGACATCTAGATGGGTATGGAGAGCAGGGGCTGAGTAATGGATAGGGAAGAATTATTTCTTCAGCCTTCTCCAGGGATCTGAAATTGCAAATTGAGTGAGATTTATTCTGTGAGTATGGCAGCCTGCCTTACTGACTGGACCCAGACTGAAGCTATGTTAACACTTATGGCCAGGTGTCCAGATGGCAGAAATGCACCAGGCTACCAGCATGCAGGTGAAATTGCAGAGAAGGAAGGAAATCCTTGAAACACTAGGCTGCTGAATAGTGAATAGGTGAGAAGTGGATGGTTATGCTGAACTGGAAATGGATTTGTAATCCATTTGAAAAGGGGGTTTCCAATAAAATTAATTTGGGAACCACAATTAAGGTTCGTGCAGATGACAATTTGTGCATAGCTAGACTCCACAAGCATCATCAAAATAACTGATCAAATAAGCTGGTTTGATGTTATCAGTAGATAGTTATCGGCTGGAAATAGGTGAACTTTATTGCTGCTCTGAGTGTTATCATGAGATCTATAATGCCAGTCTGAACAGACAGTGAAGGCCTTAGTCTCATGCTTCAATTGAAAGGCAAATCTCATTCAATTCTGCACAAAGCTGGGAAAATCTCAATGCATTCATAGAATTGAAGGTCAATTCCCCTATTGTTAGATCCAATGTGCTTCTCTGAGTCTACAGCCTTTTACCTTAGAAAGTGGTAGTACCCAGCCATTCAGAGTGCATAGTGAAATTCTGTCTCCCTTAAAAAGCTATCAGTGACACTGGCCCATAGTTGACTCTGGTATTCCTGTTGGTGCAAGCAAACTTGTAAAATGAATGAAGTATCAATAGGTAAGCATACAACATTTAAGAAAGCCTGTGATAATGATGAAGTCTGTTGGTAACCTGATATATTTAAACAAAGGATGAAAGGCAGGTGAAAGTTTGCAAAGAGGCATGTAGATTGACGTGTGAGAACATGGATATCATAAAAAGACAGTTATAATAATACTTGTTTTTGCTTACAGAGGCAAGCTAACAGCAGCAGCTCACCCAGCCTGTTGAGTGATTGTGCCAAAGCATATGCTTGTGCAGGACATGGTAAAGTATTTTACTGTAATTCAGTCGTGTATATTTTAGAAAAATGTAGTATATTATAGGTACTTTCTGTGATTTAGTTTGCTAAACGTGGGCACTGGGAGGGGGAGAGTGTGTTGGTAGGGTTATGATGTTTGACATTCTTTGTTTTGAGAAACTCATGTTCCAGATATTTACCCAACTCATTCTTTTTAACATTACTATGCTCAGAAGCAAGTTCGATTGTATCCAACTCAGTTTGCTTGTAATGCAGTAAATATCCAATGTAAATTAATTTAAAATTACATGATTGTCCTTATTTGATTTGGTTCTGGCTCTGGCTCCGATTTGAGATATCAAACCTTGCATGTTGATAAAATACAAATTTTAATTTGACACATTATAGAAGGCATATTTTGGAAACAGATTATTTAAATATGATTTTTGTGTATCATTTTAGGATTATGTATTTTCTACCTTTTACTCAATTAATGTGTATTGGCAGTCCTGTGGAATGCTGGGACATTCCTTTTTGTAAGTAATACCTTCCCCCTTTCTGCACCTTATCATCTTTTATACCACGGAAATAATAATTAGTCAGTCCACTCAATTTCCACTTTATAAATTGATTCCGTAATTTCAAGGATGGCAGAGACTTGGGAAGTAACTGTGTTCTGGAATCAAGAAGTAGGAGAAAATAATTTGTAATGTAAAATATCTGAGAAAATGTATAGGAGTGTAGAATATGCTGGAGCAAAAGCTTTGCTAATCAATAATAATGGAGCAATACACTTTAAAAGAATAATTGCTGTGTAGAAACAATTAACTAATGTCTATGAATTGAATCTCATTTTTAAAAGAAAACTAATTTGCGGTGCAATTGATGCAGATATGGGTACATTTCTTATTGATTCTTAAATGTCATTTAGAAAATAACGGATTTGTCCTTGTGCATGTCATGCTATGTAGGAAATTCCAGGATTAGGAACTCCTTATGGTGAAGGAATGGAAGTATATATCTAAATTGAAAAAGTTGGTAATTTTAGGGAATTCAGGGATGGTGTTTCCATTCATCGTATTATTCTAGTTCTTAGTGGTGGAGGTCACAGGTTGGACAGTGCTATTAAAGCAAGCAACAGAATACCAATGGATTCCCAATATCAGGACTGATTGCAGAAGCAGTAATACAGAATTTAGAATGGACAGCACTCCCCACTATACAACCCAAACTTTGGGTCCAATATGTAGACAACACCTTCATGATTATTAAACGCATGAAACTAGAAGAAACCCACCGACATATATACAACATCCTTACTGGGATAAAATTCACAAAAGAAGAAGAGAACAACAACCGACTACCCTTCCTGGACATAATAGTCGAACTCAAAAACAATGGGAACACCAGACTAGCGTATATAGCAATACCACACAAATGACCAGATACTGAATTACACTAGCAACTACCCCAACGCCCACAAACGGAGATGCATCAGGACACTATTTAAACAAGCCACAACACATTGCAGCAACCTGGAACTAAGCAAAGCAGAACAGGAGCATTTATACGGAGTCTTCGAAAGGAATGGATACCTGAAAAGCACAATCCGCCGTTACCTCCAAGACAGATCGCAACAGGAAGACACAACCTGACCAGGCTCATTAATCACCCTACAATACATCAAGGACATTTCAGAGATGACCACAAGACTACTCAGACCTCTAGGTATCAGAGTAGCTCACAAACCAACAACCCCCTACTACAGCTACTGACAAACATAATGGATCCTATACCCAAAACCAGCAAAACTGGTATAACGTACAAAATACCATGCAAGGACTGTGAGAAACCCTACGTAGGCTAAACGGGAAGAAAACTGACAATAAGGTTACATGCACACCAACCAGCCACCAAGAGACACGACTAATTCTCACTTGTCTCACTACACACCGGCAATGAGGGACACGAGTTCGACTGGGACCACACATCTGTCATCGCACAAGTCAAACAGAGACATGCCAGGGAATTCTTTGAGGCCCGGTATGCCAACCGGAGCTCCATCAACAAACACATTGGATAAGAACCTGTGTATAAACCACTGAGAAACAGAATCCGAAGTAATACCAACCACCCCAGCAAACTGAGGCATTTAAATAACAAGCAGGACAGAACACTGAAGTTTCACCGGAGGTGCCCTGGCGATGTTACCTAGCAGGGTGACGAAACGTTTGCATCCAAACTCTCACTGGCTTAGCAAGCATGTCTACGACCTCCGGTATAACTATTTCAGTGCACTTCTGATTTGGTATCTTTACAACCTACAAAACTTGTAAGGTCTGAAGAGATGGGTCCATTCATTGCAATATTATTAAGTCTCTGCCCTGGTTTTGTAGCTGCAGTGTTATTGTGACTGGTCCAAATAAGCTTTTGGTAATTGGTGATCTATATAGTATTGTAGTAGGAAGCTTGCTGGCTGTGCTGCTGAAGTTATGGGGAAGGCAGCCAGATATAATCAACAACTGGCTTAAATGTTAACTATCAGTAGTCAGCCAAAATCTAGATGTTACCCAGGTTTTGTAAGAAGGTATGGGCTACATTATTAGTGTTGTGAATGGAACCAACACTGAGGAATCGTTAGCAAACAAACCAGTACTGATGTTACGACAAAGTCTTTGAAGAAGCTGAAATTGCTTAGGAAAAGGAACCTTCACTATGGCAGTGTTCTGGGTACGCAATTGTAAGTGCCTAGCAACCATAGTGCATCAACTGCCAAACCTTTCCCTTCCACCCCCAAAAAAAGTCCAGAACGGCCAGTACTTTGTGGAAGAGGAAACCTGTTAAAATGAGGCCGTGCTGAGCATACTTTGCCAGTAGCAGGGACCTTTTGGTTTTCCACACCAGTTTTCTCCATGGTGTCGCTCTTGTCACAGCCAAACCTGGCATTAAATTCCCAGAACGATGACATTTTCTTTTGAGATGGCTGTTGGGGGCGTTCAACGTCAGAACAACCCTTTCCTCAACATCTCATTGAGTTGAGTGTTGGGGCATAAGCTCTGATGATTGTATCATATTGTTTAGTTGTAGGTGAAATCTCATTTGTGTTTCATTCATATAAATAACAGCACATGCAAGATCCTATTTCAGAGGGTAAAACCAACTCATTGAAATTGAAGGTTGCTGTCTCCCTTTCAATTTCAGTAAGAGTGTATCCCCTGGTTCTTCCATTCAACTGTTCTTACCTATGAATGAGTGTGTCATTGGGAATGGCAATATCAATTTGGCATTTTTATAGCTCACATAAGAATGCATGTCTTCTTGCTGGATGGTTGCTGTTGAGATTATTCTCAAGTATTTTTATTCCAAGTTACACATTTTTAAAATTTTACTTTTTATTGAGCACAAAGATAACAATCCAACAGGGTGTCATCCCCAAGCCAGGAGAAAGTAGGATATCCAATTTTCAAGATAATTTTTCTTCTTACGAACCGCCCCCACCCACCCCCAAAAAAATGAACCAACCGACATTTGGAGAACAACTGTTAGCCTGAAGAAGACCACTGAGTCATAGATGCTGCTGTCCAAAAAACAGCTCTGGCCAAACAAAAATGTACAACCACTTTAATGCATCCAACGTTTGTTTACAGATTCTTGACTAGGGACTTTCTGGTTCCCAGCCCTGACCCATGCCAAATCTCTTAATGCCACAGAGTTTGACTAATGGACTCTGGTAGAAAACTGCAGAGGACTTTCTTTTAAGTAGGGACTTTAGGGTGCCATCACTAACTGCATCATCCTAATGGATTGGTGGTCAGATTACATGGTCACAGATGTCGAGTTATAACATCCAGGACTGCTTGCTGCTGTAACCACCTTCCACCTTTCCAACTGGTGAGATGCATGTTTTTCATTCAGTATTATGCCACTGAGGAATTTTCAGACTCCTCTTTGGTACTTCTCCCAATCGTGTCACCAAGGATGGCACCAACCTTTGGAGCAAGGAGCTTTCAACAGCATCACTGAAGAGATAGTTGGAACATGTGACCCTCTCAACCACATCAGGGTCAATGTGACAATTCACATAGAGCTCTTAATTAATCTTGTATAAAGCAAGTACTTGGAGGAAAAAAATAGCTGCAGCATGATCATTAAGAATATTGCATCTGTCCCTTTTTAAAGGTTGTATTAGATATGCGTTTGACTTTGCATATTATACCATAGTTTCCTAGCATTTCTTTATTATAATCATGGACTTTCTGGAATAAGTCTTTGTAAAAACAAAAGAATAAAAATTTTACAACGTGTAAGGAGGTCATTTGATCCACTGTGCCTGATAGCATTTGGAAAGAGGTGTCCACTTAATCTCATTAATCATTTTTAAAAATTTTTTTATAAATGTGAAAATTAAAATATTAATAATATTCTCTTTCTTTAAATGGTTAACAGCTGGAGAAGGTATCATAATTTAAGTACCTTAGATGTAATGCAGTAGGTGATTACCCCATAAAGAAATTGGAGCTAGGTTCAGAATTGGCATAGATGTCTTCTGGTGGTCAGTGTATACCCATGGATGGTGAAATCTCGTACTTTGTAAGGTGTGATTTTGAGAGCATAATTATGTAATGCTGTTGCTTAACTATTTTATGAGACAGGTCTCCCAACTTTGGCACTAGCTCCCAGATGTTAGTAAAGTGGACTTTGTAGGTCAGTAGGACTGGATTTGCTGCTGCTGTTTCCAAACTTAAGTTGAATTCATTCCCTGGAGTTTTAGCAGTTCGATACAACTGAGTGCTCGGCTATGTTAGAGGGCACTTGAGAGTCTACTACATGGATGTGATTCTGAAGTCACATGTTAGCCAGACCAGGCAACAACAGATTTCCTTCTGTAAAGAATATTGGTGAACGAGATGGGTTTTTAGAACAATTGACTTTCTAAATTCTAGAATTTATAAATTAAATATTAAATTTTGCCAGCTGCCATGTTGGAATTTATGCTCCCAGAGTATTAGCCTGGACCTCTGGATGAGCAGATCATACCACTACACCCCAATCTCTCTCCTCACTGATCTGCTTCTTGTAATCAATTTTGCTATTTATAAGTCCAAGATTCCACTTTCTAATCATGTTCTGTCACCTTCCATGATGTACATGCCTTCCCTCTCCAGTTTCTCTAACCTCGTGTGTTGTTTAGAACTGTATCATTAAGTTTATTTGCCTCTCCCTCAACCTTGTTTGCAAATGCATCACTTCACACTTCTTTGCATAAATTCCACGTTCCACTTGTCTGCTTGTTCTGCTAACCAATCTGTGTCCTGTAGCAGTATATTTGTATCATTCTTAATGTTTGTCACTCTTGCCAAGTTTGTATTGCTGGCACATTTTGAAGTTTTACTCTATATTCCAATATCCAAGTCCTTTACATGTACTCAATCAAAGCAGGAGCCACAGCACTGAGTGGGGAATATCTGTGTCTACTGTCCTTCAGTCTGAAAAATCTTTATCATGATTCATTATTTTCTGTCTGTCATGCATGTTTTTAATCCATGCTGGCACTGACTCATCCATTCTGTGAGCACCAGTTTTGTTCGCTGGCATTTTGTGATCCTTTGTTGAGCACTTTCTTAAAATCTAGACAATATCAACTCCGTTTCCTTCATCAGTCTTGTTTAGTACTTCATCAGAAACTCAACTAGATTAATGAAGTGTGAAAATAAAACAAAGAACTCTGGGCAGTAGAAATCTGAAACAAAAATCGAAAGTGCTTGAGAAACTCAGCAGGTCTGGCATCATCTGTAGAGGGAAAAACAGTTAATATGTTGAGTCCTGTGACCCTTTGTCAGAAAGAAGAAACCTCATAATTCTCCTATTTATTAATTTAAAAGTCTTTCATCCCAGAGATGTTAAACTGACTGGCCTGCAGATACTTAGACTGCCTTTATATCTATCCTTGAAATAAAGATAACACACTTGCCACTTGCGAATCTCCCCAATATCTGGGAAACATTAGAAGATTGTGACAAGCTCTTCTGCTATTTCTACACCCACTACATTTAGTAACATGCGATGTTACCTTTCTTTAAGCTTTTCCAGTATGTCCTGTTTCAATTTTTATTCCATCCATTACCTTTGCCATCTCTATTTTTGCCAATGTTTTGTCAGCATTGTTTAAGGATACCCTGATAAAGTACTTAAGTATTTTAACTTTGCCCTTCATGCAAAACATCCTAATAGTACCTATTTTACATCTTAGCACCTGTTTTACAATTTAGGTGCCTGAGAACTTTTGGATTCCCTTTTATTTTGAATGTTGTTCTGTTCTCCCATTCTCTTTTTTTTAGTCTTATTTTCCTTTACAGTCTTCTCCATCCCCCACCCCCACCCTTTACCTGAGTCTTGCTTGAAGAATTTGCATGCTGTACAAATTGCATTTTATTCTGCTTCATCACTTTTCTCTTTTGTTCAATATCCAAAAGGCTCCTCTTGATTTCATATTTGTTGAAATTAGCCTGCACTGAAAGTCTCCTGCTTTAAAAAAATGCCCATTGTTCTGTTCCAATTGTTACTGTCAATCTTTGTTGTAGTTAAACCTAATATTGGAGTGGTTGATTGGCAGTGATGAAATTATGCTGTCAAAAGAATACTTGTGTTCACATGACGCATACGGGAGCTTCTGGGCTTGTTTCCACTGGAGTTTAGAAAAATGAGGGGTGACTTGAATGAGGGTAAAATATCCTGAACAGTCGTGACAAGTTGCACATGTAAAGGATGCATCCTCTTGTGGGTGAGACCAGAACTTTAGGAACTGGGAACACCGTTTTTAAAATTAATGGTCTCCCTGATGAGTTTCTTTTGCGGATGGCTTGTGTGACTTTGGAACTGTCTGCCTAAGGCAGCAGTGGAGGCATGGTCACTGGAATACTTTTAGGTGGGGGTAGATGGTTTCTTGTTAGGCTTGACAATCAAAGCTTGTTGGGGGTTGATTGGAATGCGGGATTCAAAACACAATCAGCCCAGTTGTGATTTTATTGAACGATGATTCAGGCTTGAAGCACTGAATGGCCCATTTCTGCTACTAATTCATTTGTTCATATCATGTAGTGCCTTAAGTATTTGAGGCAGACAACAATATGGTTTTTGCAAATGTAGTAATAGAAGAACAAAGCTTTGCATCTTTTGGACATTCACATTTAACTGTGCATGTGTCATAATAAGAAATTGCTGCACCATTTTCACACACTGGTGAATGCCATTGACCTCATTATTAGCCTCATTCAATTCTGGCTCAATATAATTGAGTATATGTAGGGATTACTGATTGGTTTGTAACTGAAGATTCAAACTTATTTTGCAGATCAACTAAATTTATCTGCCTCATTGTTCAGTGATTTCTCTGGCCTCAGCATTTCTCAGCGGAGAAAGGTAGGTAGTTTGACTACATTTTTAATTGCAAAGTGACTTAATTATTTTCTTTTCTTTGTATTTCTGTTCCTCAGTCAACTCAAAAGATCCATTCTCCTGCGCCTTTATCATGGAGGGAGAGGAAAATTATGAAAAATGAACCCTTTCAACCAAAAAGATGAAATTAAATGACATTTGTGTCTCTTATATTTACAGACACCACTGCATTGTTCTGTTCAAACCTTAAAATAACTGTTCACTGGAGGGGCGTTGGAAGGTTAAATACTGAACAAAGTTCTAAAACAGAACAAATCCGGAATCCAGTTCAAATGATGCCATAAGCCATGCTGCCAAAAAAGTGCAGGCATTATTCTGAACTGTGATGCCAAGTGAAAGTTTTGTACCATGTGATATCTCTTTAGTAGGTAATCATAATTTTCTTTGCGGTGGTACTTATAAAATACACTGGTAATTTCTCTCGAATATATTTCACAGCAATGATTATCATTTCTTGTACTCAAAGTGCTCTTGCTTAACTGATCCTCTTACAATGTGGACATCCCCAGTGCTTTGCTTCATTCAAACTGAAACAGTTAGAATTGAATGAAGCTACTCAATGCAGTTCAAAAAATGTATGATCTTGGCATTGAAATAGCTAGTTATTATAGCTTAACTTTTGGAAAGTGATGCTGTCTGATCATTTCATTAATCAGTTTACTCTATTGCTTCATAAATTCTTTATTATTCTTTATTAAATCAATGCATATACCTATCGCTGATGCATATATTCTTATAGATACTGATAAAATATATTCTGATATTTCTGGTGTGGTGCAAGCGAAAAAATTTTTTTTTAATTGCACTTCTAAATAACTTGCAAAATTCACAACAAACATCAGTCTTGTACTTGAACATTTGAATCAATTAGATTTTCTCAGCTAGTTTGCCAAATGTGAATGGCTGGTCAAATTGGTTTAGTTGTAAGGTAAGCTTTCATTTTTGCCCAACTAACTTGGAAAATAACTTTAAATGTCTTAATTTTCTTTTAAATGTGAAGGAGCACTTGGCTTCTCAGTGTAAACTCAAAACTTGGTTGCAGTATTGCCTCTAAAAGTTGAGAGTTTAAATTCTCCTCGAGGACAAAAATCTGCTATACTAAAAGATCCTTTCTTGTTTTATTTTCTGCTTAATTTGTCCTATGTACCTGTCTATCTATCATCTTTGCTTTATTTCCACTCCAACCAAGATTTTGCACTGTAGTATGAATAGGCAGAGTAAATCAAAGCTGCCTGTCCTTGTCTGAGGAATACTACATGCTGATAAACAAAGTAGTTCAGTGGAAGGGAAAGTACTAGACTAAGTTTTGAATGGTATGACCATAGTGTTTTTAGACTTCACTGATGGATTACCCAGACTTAATACATTCACTGTCCAAGCATGGACAAAAAGCTGAATTCCAGAGGTGAACTCAGAGACTGGCCTCAACATCACGACAGCATTTGTTTGTGTGTGGCATTAAGAAGTCCTGGCAAAACTAAGGTCAATGGGTAACAGGGGAACAAAGACTTCATTGGTTGGCATCATACCTAAAATCAAAAAGGAAGATTTCTTGGAGGCAGATCGTTGCTACAGGAGCCTTTCTAGGTAGTGTCCTTAGCTCACTATCTTAGCTACAACATCAATGACTTTCCCTCTAACATAATGTTAGAAGTCAAGATGCTTGTCAATGATTGTACAGTGTTCAATACCATTTCCAATTCCTCAAATTCTGAAGGAGTCTATGTCTGATTGCAGTGGAATCTCTACAACATTTAGTTCTGACTGAAAACTAACAAGTAATGGAGAAGGGTAAACAGGAAGTCATAGAGGAGAGTAATTATGAATTAAAGTGGGAAAAGTGAATGAGAATTGAAAAGGAGAGTGAGTAAGCAGTGAATGAGAGTGAGTGTCACATGAAGGAGGATTATGATGGAAAAGAAGAGTGACTGAGAGTTGATGGAGAATGAGCACAGACTGAAGGTGGAGAGTTGACATAAAATGAAGAAGCAGAGAAGCCAGGAAGTGATGGAGGAATGTGAGTGAAGGCTTAGACTGCGAAGTGAAGAAAGAGAGTGAATGAAGAACGAGGACATGTATGTTGTTACAAATGCAAATTTAACAAGATCTTTATGCTTTAAATTACGTTTGTACTTCAAGATAGAACAGAATAACATGGAAAGAAGGTTGTATAGCTTAACTCAACTAAAGATCAGATAGGGATTTGCAGAACAATGTACAAAGTTCTCAGACTTGAAATAAAGACAATAGCAATTGGGCAGACTTTGTGTCTCCAAAGCTTTTGATAGAAAGAGAGAAAGTGAGTGAGAGAGAGAAAGAGAGAGGGAAAGGTCACACAGACAGATAAAAGACTGCTTTTAGTCCACAAGCAGCAAAGAGAATTTGCGCTTTCTTTGGGCTGCCACCCGGCATATAGAAGGGAACTTGCTATGGTTAAAGAGGTGCAACCCATGGCAAGTTAAGATATCCAGGGTGTTTGTCCTTTGTGGCCATGGGAAGAAAGATTCTATGCAACAAGCCTGACTGCTAGAAATCAGTTTGGGACTGCACAAGATCTATGTAATGATGTCCACAAAATAAAATCTCTCCTTGATGTTAAATGGCATCATCGTTGCTGAACCACAACCTTCAACATCCTGAGGGTTACCATTTCCAGAAACTTTACAGGACAGGCCATATAAATACCGTGGAAATAAAAGGTCAGTTAGTCACAGGATGGCAGTTCTGTAGTGAATAACTTTCCTTCTGATTTGCCAGCTGCTTGGATGAGTCCACTTTAACAGCACTCAAGAAGCTCAATATCAACCAAGACTAGGCAGCCTCTTTAATTGGGACCCTGCCCACCATATTCTCTGCCAGTAGTAGAGTAAGTGAACACTTAGTGTTAGCAGTGTACCACCTTTAAGATACTCTGCAGCATTTTACTAAACCCTCATTAGACAGCACTGCCAAATCTAAAACCTCTGCCATTTAGAAGAAGAGCAGCAGACACCCAACAACAGCTTCAATTGCCATATTTCCCTCTAAGGAACGTGATAAGATAACCTGGAACTAGATCGCTGTTTCTTCGCTGTTGTGGAGTCAAAACCTTAGAACTTCCACCCAGCAGCACTATGGATGCACTTCAACCAAGACATTGGCTGCAGCATTTCGAGAAGACAACTTAGGGCAATAAATACTGACCTTTCAAACAAGCACAAGTCCTGTGAAATCAATCAGTGAATGTGAAGGATTACTTTAAATAAAAAGCTTGTCATTTCCATTCATGGCATACATTAACTTTATTATGTAAATGAGTGCATCCAAGGAAACAGAGCAAACCTGAGGTTTTGCTGAATAGGGGAGTTTAAATTGTTATGTTTGTTCTTTAAAATCCAGTCTGTAATTAGCAGTGACTGGAAAGTATTGTAAGTGAACAAAGTTTCTTGCATCTAAGGCAGGGTAAACACACTGTGCCGTGAGAGCTGTGTAGCTAATTAATTAGGAACTGGTTTCTTGCTCTAATACAGGGAAAGAAGCCAACTATTTAGTGAGATAGTAAGAACTGCCAATGCTGCAGTTGGAGATAACACCTTGTGGAGCTGGAGGAGCACAGCAAGCCAGGCAGCATCAGAGGAGTGGGAAGGTTGACGTTTTGGGTCGGGAAGCTAGGGTCCCGATCTGAAACGTCAACTTTCCTGCTCCTTGGATGTTGCCTGGACTGCTGTGCTCTTCCAGCTCATGCCTTTTCTCAATCTTTCTCCTCTCACCTTAAAAATATGCCCCATAGTCATGAAATCCCACACCCTAGGGAAAAGACACCTACCATTCACCTTAGCTATACTCCTCATGATTTTGTAAACCTCTAAGATCATCTCTTAACCTTGTATGTTCCCGTGAAAGAAGTCCTAGCCTATCCTTATAATTCAAACCCTCTTTTCCCGGCAACACCCTGTTAAAGTTCTTCTGAGCCCTTTCCACTTAATAATATCCTTCCTATAACGGGACGACCAGAACTACACAGTATTCCAGAAGCGACAATGTCTGCAATGAGTGTTTGTGATTTGATGAGGTTCAGCTCAGTAATTTAGCTGGAGGTTGAGGTACAAAGTCTGTGACATGTGAGCACTTGGAAATGCTTTGTATCAGGAGGCAGTCGCACCAGTTAGGATAATCTCTTCTGATTTGGCCAGGGACAGGAAGGTGTGACTGTGAATAAGTGAGACTCGAGGGAAGGACTGCTGTATTGTCAACCTCTGTAATTGCCCTGTAGGCTTGAGGATTTCTCAATTTACTTGATAAGAGTGAGGGCTGTAGCTTAAATAAACTAACTATGGCATCCTTGTATAATGAGAGCCTTCTCACTTGCATCCTCAATTGACTACTTGACATTGCAATAATACAATAAACTTTCGATATTTCAAGCTTCTAATTTTTGCGGAGGTAGGTTTATTGAGGGTGCCAGTTCATAAAGTTAGATCTTAATACAGAAAATTGTGTTTTAGTGGCCCCAACTGTTGGGGAGTAATGTCCAGTTGATGTTGCTACTGGAGAAGTAGATCCCTGACAGGAACCTTGCTGGGTAGATTAATTGTTTTTTAGTTTTGTTACTGAAGTGATATTTTACTAAAACATAAGCACACAATATTGCAATCTTGTGTTTTGTTTTATTGTTGAAACAAAGTTTATTAGCAACAGAAATGAAGATTAAAAACACACACACGCCATTCCCTTTGAACACAGATTCAGAGTTCTAAGCACGCAGTAAAAATAACCTAAACACACTTTATAGAGTAGAAACAACAACTTTGTATTGGAATTAGTACACCTGACACAACTTAGAAATGTTGGCGCAATTTGAAGAACATCTTGCGCTATACTTATAGGAAGCAGCAATCCAGCTCATTTCCAAGGGAGGCTAACATTTCTTTGTTAATACTTTGGGCTTAGAGTACTTAAAATTTCAACTCACCTACTGGAACTGTAGATAACTCCTCATTGTTATTCTTCCAATGCCCCTGAATTAGCTTCTTTCCAACACAAGACTATTCCTGACAGATTCAATTCCTTTTTTTTTATATTTCAAAAGGTAACTTCACTACTGACTGTAGCCTAACACTCTGGCCTGGGATTAATAATAATTTCTTACCCTAGAATAATTTTGTTACTTTAAACTCTTTCTCCTTAAGGTTGTCTGTTAGCACATGTTTCTCCAGCAGAAGACTCCTCAGCACTTTGAAGTTTGATACATGCATCTCTCTCTTGAATGACTTCCTAGCACAGACTAGAAATGAAAATCAGAGCCTGGAAAGCTCCCTTCTAAGCCTGCTGGATAATTGCCAAAGACCTCTGGGATACGTCCTCTTGTTCAAGTGCAAAGACAAACCCATACAAGTGATGTTCCTGGTTTCTTACTGTTAAGAAAATATTCAGACTTGCTTTTTTAAAAGTTCTGAAGGGAAGTAGTTCATTCCTTATTTTTTTCAGCACCTAGTATTTGATCTTCAGAGACAGTCCAAAGATGTGCAGGTTAGGTGGATTGGCCACGCTAAATTGCCCGTAGTGTCCAGGGATGTGTAGGCTAGGGGGATTAGCCATTGGAAATACGGGGTTACAGGGATAGGGTTGGGGGTGAATCTGGGTGGGCTGCATTTTGGAGTCGGTGTGGACTTGTTGGGCTGAATGGCCTGTTCCTACACTGTATGACTTCTGGATTCTGCTTAATCATCCCTGAATGTTTTTTTGGTCTTGGTGTAAACTATGTTGATTTCATTTTGTAATTTCAGTGCTGGTATTTATACTTTGAGCAAATGTCTTTCAAATGGAAAGTGCAAGAATAAGTTCTATGTTAGATTGCAACAATGTGATTGTGTTCAGAGAATTTTAATATCATAATGACTACGCAAGTGCTGAATTTTTATTACTGAGTTGGGTAACTCAAGTTCATGAATGTTCCAGTTTTGCAGATTTGCGTTGATAAGAAATCATCGGGGATATAGATACATAGATTTTTAAAATGGCATCAGCAGATAAACAATTGAAAACACTAATCATACATAAGCTTTGTCTGGTGTACTGGAACACACGACCATAGAAGTCGTGCTTCAGCTATATAAATCCCCATTTAGACCACACTTGGGATAATGTGAGCCATTTTAGGCACCACACTGTAGGAAGATTTTTTTTTTTTTGAAAAATCACTTGATATGGGTGTCACTGGCTAGCTAGCCAGAATTTATTGATTGTCCCTACTTGCCCTTCAGAAAGGGTTGTGCGCTGCTATGAATCATTGTAATCCATGTGCTGTAAGTAGATCCACACTGTTGTTAGGGTGGGAGTTCTGGGATGCTGACCCAGCATTTGTGAAGGAATGGTAATATAGTTGTAAGTCTGGTGGTTAAATGGCCTTGGAGCGAGTTTAATATCACTCTTGTTTTTGCTGCAGGGAAGTAGAGGTCGATGTGGGATCCATTTGGGTGGATTGACCATAGGAGCAGATTGAAATTATGATTGATGAAGAGAGAATATCTTTTCTCCTTAATATTTTAAATCATGTTAGTCCTTAACTTTTGTAATGTCCATAAACACACTACCTAGTTTGTATAATATCTTTTAATAATTTAATCATTTGGAGTCCTGTTATAATTCTGACAAATATATGCTGCAGTCTGTGAAGCCTAAATATTCTGTCTAGATTGCTCATACTATCCCAGGTATGTGCCAGACAGCATTTTGTATAGCTGAAACCTGCTTTTCTAGATATAAAAGCTCTATTAGTCTTTAATAATATTTTTACACCTGTTCAAAACCTTCCCCTGTCCTTGGTCCACTTATTCAGCCCTTCAAAAAATTCAATCTGTTTTGTCTGGCGTGACCCACCCATTATAAATCTATGCTAATTGATCAGCTGAAATTTTCAAAGTGTTCAGTTATTTTATAATTAATTTCCTGAGGCAAATAGGCTTGGTTAACAATGCTTTGAATTCTCCCTGCTACCTTTCTTAAGCAGAATATTTCACACTTTGTTTTAATCTATTTATAAATTGTAAGTTTCCATGTGTTTTGATGTAAATATATATAGGGTGAAATTTTAAGTTAAATGCTATTTAATGAACTCTGGTTGTTATGTGAGTAATTACCTAGAATATTATTTTACCAGCAGACACCAAATCCAGCTGCAAATGAATTCATCCCTAAAGGAGGATCAACCTCTCGACTAAGTTCTGTGTCCCAGTCAAACATGTCGGCCTTTTCACCAGCCTTGTTCTCTCATCCATCCTTGGGCAGCCCATCAGCAGCTGGGTTAGCCCCGGGTAAGTTACTTGTGATTCAGTATATTGCCAGCAAAGACTCATTCGTATTTTTTCTTGTATTGTCAGCAATGGGCTAATAAGTACACAGCTTATTTTAATGTCACTTAAAAACTGTTCTTAAGAATAAAGAACAGGGACTGGTTTTAAAAGCAAAGTATTCTAGCCAGCAATACTTTGAAAGTGAAAAATGTTGCTGAGGAATTTCCCTTTCTTAAGAGGTGAAGAACTTTTTAGCTTTTGTGTAAAAACAGCTTGTGAGATATGTCTTGCTAAATTGCCTGGTTGTAAAGAGTCACATAGAATATTGCACGACTTAGGTACAGTTTAATCTTGCAAATTGGATTCAACTGGGATATGCATCTGAGACTGGAAAATATGTTGATATCTGCTTAACCCTGTAGAAATTGATTAAAATAGGATCCAACAGAAATGTAATCAAGCATACCATTTTCCATTTGGTGATTTAATAGCATTTATGAAATCATTTCTATATTATATAAATGGACAGCTGTCCTATTCTTTGGAGGGCTGTGGGTTGGATTCATGGACACTACATTGGCTGAAATTTTAAACTTGTAAATATTTGAAGACCCATCAAATCAGGTTATGAAACTGATTGCAATCTAGCAGGTTGCTGATCTTCATGCCAGGGATCATGCTTGAATAATTAATAATCAGTTGGCAACTTACACCAGTAAGACTGTGCAGCCAAAAAAAAGTACCTTGAGTTTCACAGTTCTCATCCAGGTATTCAAATGTATCCGTGGTTTTGCCCGTCCATATTTTGGTAATCTCCTCCAGGCCCGCTCCAAGATCTCTACATGCCTCAAATTCTGGTCTTCTTTGCATCACCAACTTCCTTTTGCCACCATTTGCAGCCATACCTTCAGTTGTTTATGCCTTAAATTCTGGAATTGCTGTTTAATGCCAAAAGAAATGGGATAGCAAGCTATCCAGCCCATTGAGCCTATTCTACCATTCAGTAAGATCATGTCTGATCTGATTGTGGCCTTAATTCCATGGCAGTGAACCTGCGAGAGAGGAAATTTCCTCCTCATCTCTCTCAAAATGGGAGATTCCTAATTTTTAAACCTTGTTCTAGACTTCCCTACGAAGAGAAATATCCTCTTTGCATTCACCCTGTCAAGTTCCCGTAGAGTCTTGAGTATTTCAGCAAGGTTATCTCCTAAACCCCAATGAGTATGGGCTTGACCTGCTCAGCCTTGCCTCAGAAAACAGCCATTTCATCCCAGGAATTTTCTAAGTGCACCTTCTCTGAACTGCTTCCATTTCACTTGTATTCGTCTTTGGGTAAGGAGACAAAGTACTCCAAATGCAGTCTCATTAAGGTCCTAAGCAGATGTGGTGACACTTCCCCACTTTTATAATACATTCCCCTTGCAGTAAAGACCAGCATGCCATTTGCCTTCCTGATCACTTATTCTATTTGCACGTTAATGTTTCGGGATTCATGTATTGAGACACCCAGATCTCTCAGCATCTCGGTTCTGCAATCTTTTTCCATTTAAATAACTTTATTTTTCTGTTCTTCGTGCTAAGGTAACCAAGCACACATTTCCCGTATGATACTCCATCTGCCAAAGTTTTACCCCTTCTCATTACCTAATCTGTATCCTTTTACAGACTCATTTTGACTTCTTCATCTGTCTTCGTATCATCAGATTTAGCTACCATACACTCAGGACATTTTATCCAAGTCATTAATATATATTGTAAATAATTGAAGCCTAAGCGCTCTTCACTGTGACCCTCCACTAGTTAAAGTTTGCTAACCTGAATATGACCTGATTATTCTAACTCTTTGCTTCCTGTTAGCTAACTAATTCCCTTCCCATGTTAATATGTTACTCCAAATATTATGAGCTCATGTCTTGTGTGGTAACTTTTCACGTGTAGCACCTGATTGGATACTTTATGGGAATCTAAATACTTTACACTTACTTGTTTTCCATTACCTTCCCTACTAGCTATTTCCTCCAATTTTATTTTGTCAAAGCCACATGAGTCTCCCTGATTTGTATTCTAATCTTCTAAATATTACTTTGTCTCTCTTAAGAAAAGGGTTTCAATGGGTCAACTGGCCTCTTGTAATTGCTTCCTGTCTCTGTTCTCTAATAGTGTCGTTAACATTTGCAGTTTTCTAATCGCTGAAACCTTTGCAGAATCCAGGGTATATTGGATAATTACAACCAATATATCCACACAGTGCAGCCACTTCTTTTGAGACCCTCAGAACCAAACTATTTTTCTACCTTTTTAAGATGATCCTCCTTGACCAAGCTTTTGGTCTCTCCTAATGTTTCTTCTTTTGACTTAGTGTCAATCTTTTGTCTGATTATGCTTCTGTGAAATGTCTTTGGATGTTTTACCAAGTACTTAATGATTGCAAGTTGTTGTTAATGGGAGAATGGAGAAGAATTAAGGATTATAAAATTAACAGTATTTTATTGAAATGAGAATATATATTCTACAAAAGAAATTCCAATAAATCATAATTTTGACCGAAAACTTGACTAGACTGCCTCAAAACTTAAGATATGGCGAAGTTCATAATATTTGTGCTTGAGGCAGCATGGGAATTGAGTCTGCTCTCTCCTTAATAGGTCTGGCAAATAAGTGGACTTGTGGTTGACAGACCATATGTACTGAGGTTCACCCGCATCTCCCCCCCCCCCACCTCCCCCGCGAACCTCCCCGCCTGCCAGGTTCACTTTTACTGCAAAGATTTATCATCTTTTTCCAAAGAACAAATTCAGATTTACGTGTCTAAAATGCTATGAAAGGGTATTTTAAAAGTGCTTTTGACTGTATTCATGTTTTAATACATATACAATTTTGACGTTTGATTGAGAAGTTATTTTGCCATCATTCGAAATACAAGCTGCAGTCAAAATTGCTGGTAGAAAGTTTCAAAGGCTGATATTTACAATGGAGTTTTTTTTTTGGTTCAGTACCAGGAAAGTCAGAAACCTTTCACATTTGTTTTCTCTTTTTCCTGTCACCTTTTTTCTTCTTTCTTCTCCTGAAGGAGTTGACTTCTTGCTGGGTTGTGGTTCTTCCAGTGCCTCACCCAAGTGACCAGTAGACATGTGTGAAAATTGAATGGGTGTTAACAGATTATCTGATCAAGGGAGGATCACTAATCAGAAGCTGGAGCTGAGGCCTATTTGTAGCATCCTTTTCGTTATCCTGGCTGCGATCCAGTAACTCTGCATTGACTGCGGATAGAGTCTAAGATCAACTTGGATTGACTGGCTTCGGTACGCACTGGACAAACATCCTGAACAGTTAGGGGTGACATCTTATGCATTTATTTATCCTTTATGCATACTGTAATCAAACTAAGAAAATAATTTGGATTAAAGATAAGGCCAAAGGATGACCTGGCTTTTTCTAGTACTTTGATTTATGTTAGACTCTTCATATCCAAAAAGATTTTTGTGTTAACTCTATAATTTGTAGATTTCTTTGCAGTGATGTACTCTAGCAATCAGATTTTTCTCTCTCCCAACACCACTATGTTGCAGTCTCTATTTTCAGTCGGAACCTTCTAGCATTAAGGTAGCAGTTAATCCTGAAACCATTCCAACTGTAAGAAAGAGTTTTGTGGGAAGGAGTGACTTCATTTGGATTTCTTTCCTCTTGTAATGCAAAAATATGGAGGACATTTTATGCAATGCATTTGTGATAGTTTTCTAGATTAGTATGTCAAGGAAAGAACTAGCAACAGGTTCATTGGACACAGTAGGGTAGTGTTAATTAATGGCCATTTGTGAAACAAGCCTCTAAGAATGAATGAAAATAATATGGAATTTTGTATCAATTGTGTGAATGGCTTAGTTGAGTATGGAACTATGTCTGAAATTTAAGCAAAGTCAACCACATAGGTTAGAAGGCTGGGTCAGCTGACACAGATTGCAAAACCAAATTTTAACATACAAACGTAAATAGACAATGATAAACATTTAAATACATATCTTTTATCCATATCTACTTTCAACACATATCTATATTTTAAGTAATAACTATCACATTTTTACTTTATTACACAACTATTGTTGAAAGTTGTTAATTAGCTTTTGATCTTGTTTAAACTACAGTTTTGCTGCTGGTTGTGTTTAAAATTGGAACATTTAAAATAAAATTAAACAAGCAATATACTTTCAGAGTTCACTGACCACACTGCGGACATGCCTATTGTGGTCTTGACAGTAATTAAAGAAAAATAATGTCAGGTAATTACCATGGACAGGATTTTCCCCTTCTTCGAGATGTCAACAAGGGAAAACTATGGAGTGAATTGTCCTTGGTGAGAAATTCACCACCTCCTTGCAACCTTAGCAATTTGGTGCAGATCGATAAAAGTCCTGATGGACATTCTCGAATTGTTAGCAGTTGAGGGCCTTATGGGTCAATCTCCTGTTCTGCCCAACCTAGATGGAAGCAAGGAGATGACTTTGGAAAATCACCCTCTGCCCATGCCTCTGATACTCCTGACACCCATCTCCCCACAATAACAAGATAAAAATGATTGAATTCTCATTTCTGGATCTCTCTAATTGGCAGCTTCTGGCAGGTTGCCAGTGTTGAAGCCTATGATAGGATGAAATACTCGCTCCCACATGCCTGTCAACTCTGAATGAGTTGATTGACACGCAATTAGGTGTGTTATCTTCTCACTCTGGGTGAGCATTTTAGTTACCACACCTCCACACTTTAAAAAAAAAAATAGGAAAATGTCATAGTTGACTTCACCACAGAAGATGACCAAAATTGTTCTTGTAGTAGTGAGGAAACAAGAGTCTTGTGAAATTATGGAATTTAATAGATTACATTAGTATAAGCTATTGCTGGAGAAATTGAGACCAAAAGTGAACAAATTCCAAATAAATGGATCTGAATGGTCTACCCCTAGTATTTTAACAGAGTTGGCGGCAGAGATAATGGATGCATTGCTTTTGAAACTCAGAATTCACGTC